GATTCTTATCAATGGTTCAAATTGACAGTTTGGCTACAAATATGCCAGGCTATCTAGAAAAAGAACATTCCCTCTAAAATTATAAGCAAATATTTGCACAATATTTGTTTCAGTTGGAGAAGATCACTGATCTGCCTCATGTGATAGAGGTATTTAGAGAATATTTCCAGTGGATCCTGTACTTCTGAAGGTTTTAAAGGTGAGATATACCTGTTATGCACAGAACACAACCACCAAGAGCTAACCACGCTTCTTTATCGTTCTTCTTGAAGAAAAAATAAATATAAGCAGGATTGAATGCCTTCAGGACGGTAATATCATACTTCACTAGATTGTAAATTCCAATAGATCCAAGACTGAAAAACCACAAAGCAAGTATAGGAGAAAACATGACACCCACTTTGCCAGTCCCAAACCTCTGTATGTTGAACAATACCACAAGGATTATGATTGAAACAACAACCACAGCAGCTGTAATAAAAATCAATCAGATTAGAGGCCATATCCAAATGCAATTATTGGCACATACTACAAAGAAAACAAAAACTCAAGCAAAAAATTAGAGTTATCAGGCAGTCTAGTAGGTTCAAGGTCCACCAAATGAACTTCAGTGTGATACCAACACCCTAGGTATGTACGATCATTAAAGAATGACATGAAAAGAAAAGAAACTTGGAACCTAAAAACACATGTTCCTTCATTAACTCTTAAGTCAGTATTATAATTTTTCAATTCTATCCCCGGGGAAATAGGATTCAGTTAACAAATGAACCACAGGTTCTCAAAAGGGAAAAGATACCCACTTGTACCAAACCCTGGAACTTCACCCTGCAGGCCACTCACAGCAGACATCACTACAACAACCAAAAAGAAAAAAAAAAGGTATCAGTCAACTCGTACATAGATAAAATAGAAAAGATTTCACATTTAATACATGAAATGATTATTGCAGGTTCAGACAGGTCCAACGAAAAGTTCTAATTCCAAAGTAATATGATTGGGGACTATAAAGTGCCAATAATGAACTGAATCAAGTCAGGAAAGCCCTCTTTCCAACAATGAAGGGATGCCTAATTCTGGTTGCCTGTCTAAGAAGAGGAAGTGGAAGAAGATGCAAGAATAATCCCTGGCTGATAATAGTGATGTCATTTCATATCAATATAACAATCTGGCTTACATAGTGTTAAGAGAAAATATCATTAGTTACAGCTTAAACTTATATTTTTGGTTGAGTATAGCTTCTGGAGTATGCCCAATCCATTCAAGTACCTGATATTGCTGGGGTTAGAATACCATCCCCTATAACCATTGAAGTTCCCATCAAAACGAACAATAATAGGAGAGTTTTCAAGAATGATCTCCTTTCTAATGTCTCTTTTATACGCAAAGCCCTTTTCAACTCTGGAGTGGGTAATTTGAGCCTAAAACTAGAAATGTGTTCATCAGCTGGCTGACGGTTTGGCAGCAGATTAACCTTTGCATACCTACATATCAGCGAGTACAATGCAAATGTTCCTCCTACAATTGGAAGAATAAATGGTGTTGGGTTAACAAGTATAAACATAACAAGAATACTAAGAACTAAAGGAGAAAATTACTTCGATGAGAGAAATGCCTACCTTCTCCATTATCATTGGCTTTGAGAACTACAAAAACATATTTCGCTAAAGGTATAAGCGCAATTGTATAGATCACTATTGATAAAGCCCCCAAGACATCAACATCCGATTCGACTTTCACCCTGCTGAACACATCAGCGAAGACATATAAAGGGCTTGTGCCCATGTCACCATAGACCACACCGAGAGTTTGGAATGCTAAAGCAAGAGTGCTCCAAACAGAAGCATCCTGATTTATTAAATAAACGTCAGTAGACATGGATAGGGAGAGTACATTATATAACTGAGACAAGCTAATTCTGTCTGCAAAAATGAAGTAGGTGTCTGTTCGCTTAGGCTCATTTGATCTGGACCTTTGAATAATTGGCAGGCTTTTGACCTTTCCTTTAATTTACTTCCAAATCCACATATTGTTACATACAAAGGGAATGAAAGTAAGCATGTTATTTCCTTCACGCTCTTGAACACATATTGATAATAAGGATGCTGAGACAACACAAACTAGCTGTCAAATCCTAATTCTGCTGATATACGACATTTACTCCAGTATTGTTTTACTTGTTGTAACTTACCTTACTTAATTGTGAAGCATATGTTAGCTTGTGGACTCCATACACAAACTGTGTGTGCTAAGATTAACTGTTCTTGTCCATGCTTCAAAAGCTAAACCCTCCCACATCTCCAGGAAACTCTCAAATCCCCAAGGATGTGAATCATATTAAAGAATGAAGTAATCACTGCTCCCAAAAGATTAATATCTAATTGCCAATCACTTCAATCGCTCCATTTGCATTTCTCGATACATTGGTAGGCATCAATACCAAATTGCCAATATCCCATCTTCTTTAATGGTTAAATAATGTAACAAAAAATGACAAGAAGAATAAAGACTATTAATTTGGATTTCGAACTTTCGGACGGTGCTCCGTATTCCAATCTTAGACCATGTCCATGAATTTGAACCGAACTAATACACACACACACACACACACACACACACAAACAGCATAATGGATAACAAGAACTAAATAACACATAAAAGCACACAAATCTCACAAAATTTTAAGAAATTGAAAGCAATTGTGACATTACTTTAGAATGGTCGCTACCACCACCAGCAATCTCCATGGCTTCAACATCAAAAGAATCAACTCTCTTGGGCTTCTTGGCAAGCCTCCTCCTGAGAGATCCATATCCTTCTCTGCCAACATTTTCAGAAAGCATCGACCATGGAGGTGACTCTGAGTCCACTTCGCTTCCATCAACCCACCTCGAGTCACTACCGCCACCACTCCCACTCCTAACCACCAACCTCTCACTTCTCTCAATCCCATCTTCTTCTTCCATGTTTCCACAGACCCTTCAGAACCCACATGCAAAAGACCCTAACTTTGCTGCCAGTACCGCTCTGGGAACCAAACTCAGCTGGTTCTGATGAAGCTCCAATAATGGGTCACGGAATTTAATTCTCTATGATGTTTTATGAACCGTTCCAAAACTTGAGCCTGGGAAATGAGTGAGGACAACAATAGCTACTAGAAGCGAAACAAACATTATTCGTTACGTTACGACTCAAAACATGCTTCTATTTATTTATTTATTTTGGGTAAGAAAATCATGCTCGTATCTTTCCTTGGTTTTTCAGCTAAATGAGTAGAGATGGATAAGCTCCTATTGGTCCATAATCATATGTTCAGACACTTTTTTGTTTATTTAATTTATCCTTTTTTTTGTTCAATATTTTAATATATCTGTTCACTTAATAGAATCTTTTATTTTTAAAAATTATATATATATATATATGCACGTAAATGTAGGTTATGTTAGTTGATTAATGGCATGTGTGTTTGTTGTTTTCACCTCTGATTCCGCTCATCTCACGATTAGAGTAGTTTAGAATACATTGGATTAAAAAAAGAAAAAGAGTAGTTTAGAATATCAACTAGATAATCAGTTCTCTATTTTTGAAAAGCCCTTTTGCAATTTACAAATAAGGGGAGCGATATTTAAGATGGACCAAGACTCCAAAGCATTTCCGCGGTTTCACGCATCTACACACTCTCTAATTTATTATCTGATTATTTGTGGAAATGCATGTTAATTATCAACCATTTGATTAAAACACACAACAGTAGACATTTATTCTGAAAAATGAAAAAAAAAAAAAAAAACTTAAATTAGTATCTGAAGTAATCTTGAGTGTTGGTTAGGATAGGATAAATCTGGTATTCTGTTGTTCAACCACCTGAATTTTCTAGTCAAAAAATTTACCAATTTGGCAATTTTTTAGGATCTGTATCCTCTTCTGTTTGCTCTAAACTTCTCACACTTATCCATCCACTGATTCACATATGAAAAGTATCTTATTACGCTGGTCATTTTTGACATTTTGTCCTGTTAAAATCATGGGTTTTACTAGAGATTTAAGCCCAAATAAACGTGATGATGATGAATAAAAAAAAAGGCACTAGAACTATGAATAATGAATTTTAAAAAAAGCAAAATTGTAGCAATGATCCCTTAAATAAAACCTAACTTTACTTTTCGTATCTCATGCCGCAAAATTGTAACAGTCAGGCACGGACCTATGACTTGTACAATTTGGGCTATAGCCCAGGTGAGTTTTATTTATTTATTTATTATAGTTAGTGTTAATGTTAAGCCCATTTAGAGCATAAATATCAATTAAACTAATTGGATAATTGTAGTCTTTTCTTTTAATTCATTTTTGTTCATCATGGTAGACCTTAGCTAGCATTTTTGGTGTAAAATAGGCTTTTTAAACAAATAAAATAAAAATTATATGTTCTTAAAAAGACTTTTATATGTTCATCATGGTACATGGAGGTGATGGAGGTGATGCCTTATTTACCCTTAAAATATCTATCATGTGCTTGACATGTGATCAAGTTTGACAATAAAACAAACAAAATTGACAGAAATGACTAGTTGTGCAATGCGAGATCTAATTAAAACACCACGTAATAATTTTGCAACGTGATGAATAAAAAGTAAAATTGAGTCTTAGTCGAGGGCCTTTAAAAAAAACACATCATGAGAAGGTGAAATGTTTCTTTACACCTGAATTTGATCTATATTCTTGTAAATTAAAATAATTTAAAATAATTTAGACTATAATTTTTTTTTAATAAAATGCCTGTATTAATTACAAGCATTGCAAGGCCACCCTTCCGTTATTGGTAGGTAGGTCCGGTTCCTATGATGATGTCATAAATTCCCGCCCGACGCATATTCGTGGAATATTCAAGAAAAACAGCATGTCGTTTAGGTGACATTAGAAGGCTGGGCCTGGAGAATTATAATGAAAAGTGGGCCAGTTGGGCTCCATTTTACTTAACGCACATTCACAAGTAGAATAAGAAGAAGCAGGGAAAGCAAAACGCAAAATAGCTTCTGGTTCTAGGGTTTATTCGAGCTCTGCGATTTCAGGCGCAGAGCGTTCAATTCTTTTCCTTATCGCTCCGATCGTTCATCTCTCAAATACTCTAGCGGTTTTGCCAAGGTAATATTTCGATGCTATCTCTCTCTTTTTTCGTTTAACATATAATAGACTTTGAGAATAAGTATAAAGCCAAAGTATTATTAATTTATCGGATGAGAAGTTCGATCCTTGATGAGTTTAAAGGGAAAATAAATTATTCTTGTTTGATGGCTTTTGCTGTTTTATATATGTGTATAAATATATATATTTTCTTAGGTTGAAAGTGGTTTTGCGACGATGGCTCGGGTTTATGTGGGGAATTTGGATCCTCGAGTGAATGAAAGGGATTTGGAAGATGAATTTCGGATGTTCGGTGTTCTTCGAGGGTTATTTTCCTTTCTTACTAAATGCCTCTACTTTTTTATTGTTTGAATGAGTCACAATAATTATTTTAAGGTTCAGTGAGATTTATTGGTGCTGGTACTTTTTTATGTAATTGATCACAGTGTATGGGTTGCTCGAAGACCGCCAGGATATGCGTTTATTGAATTTGACGATCGCCGGGATGCTCTAGATGCAATTCAAGCTGTGGATGGTTTGTCTGACACTCCCACTCCAATTTGGGTTGACACCATAGTTTTCCTTTAGCGACTGCACGTTATAATTTGTTGAAGCTTCCACCTGTTGAGAATACCAAAGGCCCATCTTTTTGAACTAAACTGTAGTTTCAGATGCATGTTACTTGTTACTTATAGTTAGCATGTCTATTATCGTCAGTCCATTTTTGTTAGAGAAAGATGTTAAGGCACATAGAAGAGGCATGTCCATCATATTCTATGATAGATTCTGTACACAATGTGTTTGAGTTCTGTGCTGTTATCAAATATCATCATCATCAACATTATCATCTTCACCATCGTAGCATCTTTATTTCCTATTGGAAATGCTTAAAGCTTCCTATTCCCATTCTTGTTTCAACAGGAAAAAATGGTTGGCGTGTCGAGCTTTCTCACAATTCTAAGGGTGGTGGAGGCCGTGGTGGTGGTGGAGGACGCGGGCGTGGTGGAGGTGAGGACTTAAAGTGTTATGAGTGTGGTGAACCTGGTCATTTTGCTCGAGAATGTCGCTTGCGTATTGGTTCACGAGGATTGGGTAGTGGAAGGCGCCGAAGTCCATCTCCTCGACGCCGCAGAAGTCCCAGTTATGATGGTTATGGACGCAGGTATACTGAAGACCTATGTCTTTTTTTTTTTCCTTCCTCTGCATTGTACATCATGTGGTAAAATTATGCACTTCGCCACATCCTTCTTGGGCTTTGTTTCCCAGCTCACATAGAAATGAGATGTGACAAATTGAAACTTGTGATATTTGATACATTATTCTGTGTAACCCTACTAATTATTTTGTACTAATTGCCTTGTGGCTGCCAAGTTAATGTTTTATGTTGTGGCAGGAGTTATAGTCCGCGTAGGAGAAGATCTCCTCCACGACGCCGTAGTGTCACACCTACTCGACGTGGACGAAGCTACAGTAGGTCTCCTCCATATCGCCCTGCTCGTCGTGCTTCACCTTATGCCAATGGGTAAGTCATGGCTGCACAATGTCTTACTGTTTCTTTTTACAAATTATGTTAAATGTAAGGTTGAGCAAGTGTATTTTGGATGGTGTTATGTATTAGAGGACTTCATTTCTTGTTGATTTCTACGAGTAGCTGATTCATGTGTTTGTTTGTCGTCTGCAGGGACTAAGCTGGAATTGGAGCAAATGCTGGATGACCTTGAAAGGATGATGTCTCCGCTATATTATAGTTCTAATAGGATTGGTTGAACTGACGAGAATCATGTTAGTTATGTCGATGTTGTGACGATGGGTTTTGTTAGAAACTTGGATTTGGATGGCTTGCTTCTACGAAGTGTTTTTGCCACCAAAAGGGGTGCCTTGGACACCGTTTTGCGTCGGCTTTCTCGCTTCAGCGTACTGAAGAGGTCCCTTTCCTACTTTTAAGTTGCCATATTATATCTGTTTATATATGATTTTTATGTGAATTTGTCCTTTGTGGTTGGATTTCATTGTTTGCATTAGAGGTTCCTAAAGTTTGCTTGTTTTGATTTGAGGTGTGATTTTCGGCTAAAACGGCTTCGTTTCGCCACTTACTGCATCTTAGTTCTCACGGTTCCCATCTCTGCGTCCACCAGAGTATTCTACTTCTTGTTGCTTCTACATATTGTTCAGTGAAACTGGAATATCTAGAAACTTTGGTACTTTCTACTTTGGTTGCATGCGGCACTTTTTTTATTGCAGTCTTCTGCAACAAAGCTTCCTGAATAAACTTTTTTTCGTTAGCTGGTTCAAGAAGATGAAGCTGTTTATTGCCTTCCCCATCTCTGCACCTCTGCACAACATGTATTTGTTGCTTGTTTTACTTGAGAAACCTGGCTGCATCTGACCATATTAGTGTCATCATCGTCAACAGTGCTTCTGTCATAGTAAGACCTTCACTTCTTAGTTCTCTACTAGCTGGTGGAAGAAGGTGGTGAAGCTGTTGTTGCCCTATTGGTTCTCTTCTCTCGAGTCTGGTTATCAATGGTTGAAAGCCAGAGCATCCATTGTATTAGTTTTAGAGCATACTTAGTATTGTTGGTTAATCTACCGACTGAGTTGAGATGAACTGCAGACCTTTTTCGATTGTGGAGTCCGTCGCAAACGCATCATCGTCAAGACCTAAGACTTACCTCTGAAATCTTCTTGATGTAGCACACTTATTTTTGCACAGTTCTACAAACCACACACCGCGAGCATATATAAGATTTTACTCATCACGTAATTTGTTTAAGTTGCTTGACCGAAGAACTGAATCCATCATTGAGGGCTGTCAGGCATGACAACCCTGTTTGGCTTGTGGTTGGTCATGCCTCAAGTGATCTTTCCCCTTACCCTTGAAACTTGGTGGTTGCGATGTTTATTTTTCATTTCTATTTGATTTGTATTTTCGTTGTTGACTTGTAAATTAATGTGCCGATCTGCCTTCAGAGAAGGCAATTATGAAACAAATGTGATGGTTTAGTACTTGCATACTTTACATGATGATCATGGCGGACAAGTCACCATCTTGGATTTTTTTTGCAATAATCTTAGCCTCTAACATTCATTCATAGTTAATAAAATGCGAAATGGGATAAATACATTATATAATATGTGAATTTTGTATGTATTATTGAAAATTTTGTTAAAAACACGCGTATTAAATATGAAGGAGCAATAAATAGTATAGCCGTGCGGCTATACTATTCATTAAAAAAAAAAAGGGGACCCAAGATTTCTGAGTAGGCCGAAGTGACACAGTTGGGAAAGTTGGCTGGAAATGGGCTTCTTTTTACATTGTAATGTATGTCGCTGTTGTCCTCTACTTCTTTGGAAATTTCAATAATCAATAATGCAAGTTACTTTATTATTTGATGTGCTTTGGATTATCACCCCAAAATAAACTAACAGGAGGCATCGGCTAGATTTGTACCATTCTAATGGAAACAAAACTAGAATTATACGAGTTTGTATCACAATGTCAATGCACTGCTGCCATATATATTGAAGAGGGAACCAATGCAAGACCCACAGTATTCAAACTTCGTAGTGGTACATCTGAGGGAATGGAGAACCCAAGATTTGCTGAGTTTAAGCTGTGGTTTCTTGGCACCGTAGGTCTAATCGAATCAGCCATGAAAATCCCATTTAGAAATCCCAATTTCATAGCCTTAACATTGATTACCTCCTTCCCACTATTTTGCATGAGATTAATACATGAATTGCCTTATAATTACCAGCCTAGTTTGATCATGGAGGCAATAAATCAGCTAAGAATTCTTACTTATGATGGAGGCAATATGACATGGGCTCTAAATCTGACCATTAAAATTCTGGAAGTTTACCTCTTTTGCCTTGTTGACTTCCTCAGTGCCCTCACAACTATCTATGCTGCCTCAATAATCTTTACTAGTAGTGAGAGGTCAACAATGGGTCTCCGAAATCTTCTTCGAAATTCAATAACCAAAACAAGGTGGCATGAGCGTATGTTTACATTCTTTTATGTGTCCTTCTTGTGCTCTCTTTCCTCAAATGTTGTTGACTATTGGCTTTGTACTAGGCCGTTACTTTCATCAGGCTGCCCAACTCGGTCGTTGCAGGGCTTGCATTTGATAGTTTATGGTGTGGCCTTTGCTAAATGGGCAGAGTACAGTGCCTGGTGGAACCTAAGTGTTGTTGTTTCCATTTTAGAGGAGAACAGAGGATTTGAAGCCATTTCAGCCTCATCAAAGTTAACCAAAGGAAATAGACTAAGAGGGCTCATTTGGATGCTTCTGTATTCTGTTTGGAGCTTCAAGTTGCCATCCCTCCTTGCCACATGGACTTTCCCACATATACTTGCATACTATTACCTTGACACAAGCTTCTTGTGCCTGGGCAAGGTTATCAATTGGGTGGTTCTCACAGTTTATTACTACGATTGCAAGAACCGTCACGACAAGGTTGCCATAAATTCTAAAGTTCTTAAGATCAAGCTATCAGATCTCTGATTCAAAAGTTTGTAATTGCTGCTTTTGCTAAATTAATTGAATTGAAAGTTACATGGGTTCACAAAAGTACATGGGGCTAACAAATGGTTTGTTGGCAATTCTACCGAGTAGACAATTTCAAGGTTTACCCTTTTTGAAATTTATTTCTAAGAACCAAATTCAGGGTTAACAAAACAATGGCTTGAATTTTACTGTGATTCTCACCATGTTCTTGGAAACTACGGTATTATTTTATATATCATATTGCAATTAGAAAAAGAGTAAAAGTCTGAGTCAAGTCAACTCCTGCCTCCCCACTCTGGGGTCATCAAGAAAGACTTCATGTTCATTTACAAAGTCTCTTGATTGTGTTTGGATGGAGCTTGGGAGTGAAAGCATGGAGATGGAAAGCAACCTTACGGTGAAGAAGAACCAGAAACTGGAAGCCTTTGATATTCTCAGAAAAGCTCTTATAATCTCTGCCAGAAACATCAACTTCTTCATCTTCACCATTCTCACCTCCCTCCCTCTCTTCTTTCTTGGTTTACTATGAAATTTTTCTCCAAAATTTCCTGGTTGAAATCTTCGAAATTGTGAAACAATCCCCAGGTTACGACTACAGCTACAGTATATGGCTAACAGGCTTGAATGTTGATATCACCCGTAAACTAAACAAAGAGTTTCTCGATGAGTTGATTCAACTATGTCTTCTTTATCTGGTGCCTCTCCATCTCCTAGAGCTCAGCACTGTGCTTGTGATCGTTGACTTGGCATCCAAGATATATACAGAAGAGGGACCAATGATGAGCCTCAAGGAGATGGTAAATAAGCCCTTTGACAAAGCAAGACTCAAAGGCACTTTCATTACATCTGTCTATGCTCTCTTCTTGTCAACTTGTATTTTACTCGGATTGATATCGTTATTAACAACCTACTTTGTTGTCTTGAGGAACTTCGGTTGTGATGTGTTCTTTGCTGCACTGTGTTTGCCAGCATTTGTTGGACTGCTAGCTTTGTATTTGGCGTTTAGTGCTGTATGGAATATGAGTCTTGTGATTTCAATGTTGGATGGGGTTCATGGAACTGGGGCATTAGCTCTAGCAATTTATTACAGCAGAGGTAGCGAGTGGCGCGGGCTTCGTTTGATGCTGGTTTTCTTTGCTTGGGGAGAGGGCTTAAGGTTGCCATGCCTCTACTTTGGCTGCTATGAAAGAGAGTATGGAATTGTTGCACAGATTAGCTTGTTCTGCTTGGGGAATGTCCTGAAGTGGGTTGTCTGTATGGTATATTTCAACGATTGCAAGAACCGGGCTTTCGAGAAGAAGGAATGTGTTGAATCTGTTGATGATGAAGTTGGAACACAGGTGGAAGCTGTTGGGGAATGAGCACTACAAGAAAGTACATGGAAGTGATCTGGTAAGAAACTCCAAAGAACAACTAGAAACAGCAACAAGTTCACTCTCCATCAGTTTCCACATTATGTTGGTTTTTCTCCATCAAATTTGGTGTTTTTGTGCTAATTACTCATGTATGAATTTAATTGGAAAAGTTCATATAAATCTGATATAGACTTGAAAAGAAATATTTCCTTGGAAATGCTCACTTTATGGTGAATGTCATTTGACATTTCTGAATTGTAAAATGGATTTTAGAGAGGAAACCTGACAAGGAAATATAAAATGTAGTTGAGAAGTATAATGAGAGAACAGAGCAAACAGAGAAAAACTGAACCCAATCACATAAACTAGAACAGTATCTTCAAAATTTCAACACAAAAAACTGTCAAATGGTGCACTGTCCGGTCGTTGATTATTAAAGGCTTTTTATCACAAATGATCCCTTAGGTTTACGAAATTATCACATTTCGTCTCTAACGTTTTTTTTGTGACACTAATGGTCCTTAAGGTTACCCTCCACACATCAAAATGATCCCTGCCGTTAACTTATGTCGAATTTTGTGTTAAATTGATGAAGTGACACATGTATTGAGCCCACACATCCAATGGAATAAAACCACATGGTTTTAAATATAATATAATATATTTTAAATATTTTTAAAAATTAAAATTCATAAAAAAAAAAAGTTAAATTAAAAGCAACTTAAATCTTTTTATATGTTTTTAAATATCTTTCATCCTCTGTTCAAATAGAGAGAGAGAGAGAGAGAGAGAGAGAGAGAGAGAGAGAGAGAGAGAGAGGAGGGGGTCTGTGGGGGGAAAAG